TTCCAATATGCTACCAATTAAACATGGAACAATTTCAAAATAATGCTTAATAACAAAGTTGAAATTCGATCTTCAACTGTTAAAATCTTCTAGAAGTTTGCAAAAAAAATTTTCCATATTTTCGTCGTACTCCCCAAGGGAGCCTCTATCACCCCTTAAAAGGAATGCCGCCAATTTTGAATCATCCTGTATATGTAATGTAATAACATAATAATAAGCTCGTAATTCCAAGTTTATTTTTACATTGGCGTTCTGATCTAAATTAGTTATTTAAATGCGATATCAACATTAAAAAAAACTTAATAGTGATTTACAAATTATTATACAATTTAAAAAAAATCTTGATATTTCTCTGGCAAAGTCACTTATCAAATCGTGACAATCAATCGATCGATGTAAATCACCTTTAATGCTTGATCTTGATCGGCTTTCGAAGGCCGGGGGTAAAATTTAAGTAAGTACTTTAAGGGTAAAAGTTCGAAAAACGGATTTGATGTGTTTCCTTATGATCTGTGGCGCAAAGGGTTAGTTCTTGATTAATTCGAATAAGATTAAGATTGCGCACATACCTATGCGTAAAAGTAAAACAAATGAACAGTAAAGAAAAGTGCTTAGTTATGATCATCGCTTCTGATCGAAAAATTGTACTTTTAGATTCATTCGAATAAAAATACATTTATCAACTGTATTCAATACCATCAACATCATATGAATGAAATAAAATATAATATTCGTAATTTGTATATATATATTGAAATAAAATATATCGTTACTTGTCACAAACGCTGTTTTGGAATGTTATCAGATCCTCTTCTTGCTGCTCCATTTCTTGTTGCGTAATAATTTCCGCTACTTTCAGTTTGGTATAAGCTTGCCGTTTGGGCGAAAAGTGTTTAATGGCTTCGGCATAACCCCGAAAAATTAAATCAATGGAGTTACCATTAATAATCGGTCTTTTCTCTAAATATTCGATTGCTGTATCTAGTGAGTTCTCATTTGCTCGTTTAAATGCACGCTTTTTAGTAGCCGAATTCGAAGATTCGTTCTCGATATTTGGTGGCGATGGTGTTCGTTCAACGAGCTCTTCCCTATCTTCATATGGACTCAACATTTGCGTCACTTCTATTTTTATATTTTCTTCAGATGTATCCTCATTAGATTCTTCACAGTCGATATCTTCAAAATTATTAGTTTTGTCCTTGGAATTCATCAAAAATGGACGAAAGTGTTGCATGTGTTCTGCCCAATGCCATTTTTTATACGGGTGCTTTGCTTTAAGGAATTTGGCATAACTGTCCCGTAAATTGCGCCATTTGCCCTTTAGAACATGGCCTAAAATAATGGAAATTATGATATTATGAAGTTGTACTGAAAAAGTACCCGGTATTTGAAATTGAATAAAACAACTAGAAGGCCTATGATAATTTTATATTATTGATTTGGTGCTACATGTTAAATAGTATTTTTTGGCAATACGTGTATGTCTGAATTAGCAGAAGTAATTAGAATACAGTCTACTAAATACTTGAAAATATATTTAAAGAAAAACACAAAAGGATCATGAAGCTATTGCTATTTTTAATTACGGAAGTGTTTTTTATGCTTTTAGAACCATGCCCAAAGCTATTATTTTCAATTTTTGCGCTCTTAATATCTTGACTTTCGCCTTGAGAAATTCCGGCCATATTCATCTAAACGCTTAACAAACATCTATTCACAAATATTTAATAACCAAATAGAAGCCAAACTGACTCGCATAAGAAATATACTATCGAAAACAGGGAAAGGAAAACACAACTAATTGGTTGCAGAATTTCACCTTAAAATCGTACAATAAATGCTCAGGTCACTCTTCAACTGGAAATTGCATATGTTATACCTGATAACCGGATAATACCAAAAGCATAACTACTTTGTCGACATGTTGGCAACATAGCTTGCCATTTTCTGGTCTGATGGTCAACCTATTGTAGTTGGTGCGGTAACAAAGGATGTACAAAAGAAAAGTTCAAAACAGTATTCGAGTTGGAAGAAAGTTAACAATCCTTTCTGTTTTCAACTCCGTATGTATATAATCTAATGTATTAGAGGGAGAGCTTGTATCTATTCGCCGACGAATTTAGGGATGCAGAGGCGTACAGAGGAAGAAAGGCAAAATCGGACACAATGAGACAACAGTCGACTCGGTACCATCTTTGGGTCGATTGGAATCAATGTGTTATTTTAAAACTATCTCTTGCAAATTCTATAAATATTGAGCACCAAAACTTTACATGTAAACCTCTATATAACGTATTCTACACATTCACTTCAAAAACCATCCTACTACTGACAGTTGTTAGCAGAAACTTACCATCTTGTTCCAATTTTAATCCAATTTCATCCCATACTTTATCTCTCTGCTTGAAATTTTTAAAATCCCCGTGAGAACAATCATACAAAATCGGATACTCTTTGACGCTTTCAATCAGTTGTTTAAAGATGGTCGCCATTCTGTAGAGCTGCGTTGCGATGTGAAAAGGCCCCGTTTGCGTTCTTATCGATGCGATGCGGTCATGGTAGAAACTATTATGTATAACATGCCGCAATGTCACCAGTGTTGCCGCAACTTCGCCTCGTTTGGTACTAAGTTAAGGTCAAACATGTGCACGATTATTCCTATGGTGTTTTGTTTACAGCTGTGGTCAAATGCTATTTGCTATCTTTCTGATGTGGAGAAAATCTTCATATTAGTAAACTGCCCAAAAGTTACAGTATCAGTACGGTAAAGTGCTGCGATTTTTTCAACGCAACTTGTATTCATACGTAGCATTAACGCTCCGTACAAAACTGTATCCAAAAATAAAAATTGCCGCAGACCACCGCAGTAAAAACACGTAATATTTTAACTTAATTTTGATCTTTTTCATTCGAATTCCTTTCGAAATTTGCGGTTAACATTTTTTACATTAGTATTAGTAAGTATCAGGCATGTTTCTTTGCATATGATATGAACGCAAACTTGTTATACGTGTAGTATTAAATGACAAATTGGTGCATTCAGTACAAAACATTAATTCGATGGTCTAAGTTACTTTTGAGGCTGCCAAATTTCATACGTTTTTGCACAAACACAAAACTAATTCCATAGCTGACTGTATATCCACATCACGAGCACTTGCTTTAAAGAATTTCGTTTTAACATAACATAAATATTTTAGAAAGTATATACGGAATGGCTCTTTTTGATGTTTAAGCCGTTGATCTAATTTTCTTTRTAATAAAACTATTGTTCCTTTTTTTTGCTATTCTGGTWATAGGAGAAAAAAAATCAAAATATATTCACATCTCGTAGTTATTTGTCGGAGCGGATACAATATGTAAAAATTGGCAGTRCAYTMAGCGATCCTAAAATGGTTCAAATTGGAGTACCACAAGGCACTGTTCTTRGACCAATTCTTTTTAATGTTTACTTAAACTCAATATTCCAGTTGGGTAATAATGGCTCCATAATTGCACATGCTGATGACTCTGCTTTGTTTTTTTTAACGGCAAAAGTTGGGATGAGGTAAAGCATAAAATGATAGTAACATTGAAGAGAGTAAAAACCTTCTTTGRYATATTCAGATTATCCCTAAATATTGATAAAACTAATTATATGGCCTTCTCAATMACTGAAGCAAGAAAACCAAATTTTGACTGTTTAGAAATAGACATTTTTGAAAAGCCAATKAAAGAAGTTCATATAACCAAATACCTAGGAATAATGATAGATAATCACCTAAAATGGGAGGCACACRTATCTTACCTTTGCAGAAMAACCAGATAMCTACCTCATATTTAAATTTTATCAATTGAGAKAATTCTTAAATCAAAAACTTATTATCACGATATGATACAGGGTGATTCAAAATTGGCGTCATTCCTTTTAAGGGGTGATAGAGGCTCCCTTGGGAAGTACGAGAAAAATATTGAAAAT